TACTGTGACTGAATTAGTTTGCTCTCTTTTGGATAACTGTTCCATTTGTTGGAGAATTTGAGATATATTTAGAGTGGGAATGATAAGCACTCCTTCCCCACCCTGCCCTCCCCCCCCCTCCCCTCCCCCCCCCCCCCCAAAAAAAAAAGGAAAAAAAGAATCACTCTGAAGAATTGGGTTCTATCCTTGACTCTGTCACATAGTTTTTTGGTTTTTTTTTTTAATAAATTTAGGTGTCCACATGTGATCATTCATTTCTGAAGGTATAAGTTGTTTGAAAATTCATTTAAAAGCAAAAAAATATGTGTTTTGTATACAAATGATGGCATATGTTGATAAATTCTTTGTACATTTTTAAAAAAACTGTTTATCCAAATTAGCACAGAATTTTGAATTCATGCATCTGGGAATAAGAACACGAGCTCACTACAGTGGTACAAAGTTCAGTGGTATTTGTAAAGAGCTACAAAAGCCATACAAATAGAAGAACTACACAAGGAAGTAATTGTGTTTTCAGAACACAAAACAACTGATGTGTAATAAACAAGACAGTCGTCTTTCTTTTCTTTTTTCATGAAGACAAAGCAAAATAGGAAATAGCTGTTCACACCTCAACTGCATTATAAAAAATGCTCCTATAGAAAGTAAATTAAATTTATAAAAAAAGCAGTTAAAAACACATGAAAATGGCCATTTTGATTCCTATATCTGTTCTATTAATGTACGAATCCAGATAATGTCCTCTTTTCAGCTCATTTAAAATTTTAGCTGAGTGCAGATAAATTATAGCAAATGGAGATCTACAGTGATCATTCAAATGCCAGAGAGCTCTCTAGACTCTGCTTTAAAATCCATAATAACTAATTATAACCAGAATAAATCAAAAGGATGTCTACTACACAAAGTAACTTGAAGCACTTTAGTATCAAGCTGATTTTTGTGTCTGAAAATCATGATTTATCTTTATATTAATCTTGATTTATCGTCTGAAGAGTGCTTATCAAAAGGCCTGCTAGATAATGTACATATAATTTTAGTTATATAGCTCCTCTCCCACTATGACCATTTTCCTTGATGGCTGAACAGTGTTTCTGAACTGCTGTAGTGTTATGTCAGACCCCTTGGCTCACGAAAATGTGAAGGAATCCAAAGGAAATGACTGCAGTCTTATAGCACATGGTTCCACATGGAGATCCTGAATTATATACTTTTGAATCAGACATATTACAAATAAATAAATGGGAAAACTGCCTCCTGTAGAATAAACTCTTAAAATGGAGGAGTTGGGGATACCTGCAAGGTAGTTTAGCCTTTTAGACTTTTAAACCTGCTTTATAGAGAGAATTTCTTGTGACCGTAAATTAAGGTCGTGGTGTTATCAAACGTGGTAGATGACTACAGAGAAGTGTCCTGTAATTGCTACAGAAAATAGTTTAAAAATGTTTACACATACCCCTAGCAGAAATATATTTTCCTGTCCCTCTATTAGATCTATGTATTCGAGAACAAAGATTAAAGCATAGTTCTCTGGGGACTGCAGTCAGTTGTATCGGTGGCTTAATAGTCATTGTAATTAAGGAATAAAATGTGTGTTCTGCTGGCAGGCCTATATTCTCAGTGATAAATGTGGGATCTTCTGCAATGGTGGGAAGGATCTGATTCTTACACTGAAAGAATGCTGCTGAAAATCTATAGCTGTGTTTTTTTACACTGCAAGAGTCACCAAACAAGGATTTTGGAAGATGCATCTGATTTACCAGTCTACTATACTAACATTATTTTGACAGGTGTGATGCATCAACACAGTATTATAAGCTTAAGATAAATTACAGCATTCTTTTTCATCAAGCAGCAAACTGCAGTGGCGTATTGCACAAAGCTCAGTGTGTTCAGTCAGTAGGCATTTGTGCCTGAAGCCTAAAATAGAATGTCTTTCTGTGATGGGTTAATCCCTCTTTGGCTCTGATCCTGGGTAGATTACTAGTTATAGCACGCCATGAAAGACTGCTGTGTAAGGCAAGTATTTCACTTAAGTCACTTACCACATTCTCTGGACAACAGAAATTTCTTGTGCATCTGCTAGAAATGTGGGGATAATTTAATTGCCTTTGCTAAGATTTCCAATGTAATTTAATAATCGTTTTTATTATAATGTACGTATTGTTAAAAGTTATCAGAACATTTTTACTCCTGGTACATTTTGAACAGCAGGGAGAAGATTTCGATTTTGATTAGGGGTCCTAATCAGTTTTTCATAATTTAGAGCACAAAATGTGTTTGGTCATTCTCCATCACTTTTTTTTTTTTTTTTTTTTTTTTTTTAATTCTGATTGTCTAAACTCTATGGGTTTATTTCAGCTGAATGGATATCTCTATTTGAAGTATATTTTTCACTTACATTCAATTAACTGAATTTTCCTGAAATGAATGTATGTAGAAGTGAAATGATAAATTTTAGGAAGTACACACTTTTATTTCCCTTAGTATTAGTGCCAAGCAGGGCTGCTTTATAGTGCTTGATTTTTAAGATGGCCTATACAGTGATTTTTACCAAATGGTCCTATTTGAAATGTTCTAGCTTGGTATCCAAATAATTATCTTCATTTGCAAGTTACCAAAATTCTGTTGATTACAAATATTTAAGCTTTCAGAGCTTCACATGTGGTCAGAGAATGGAAATGGCACTGTGCGATGGTCATAACTAACCAAACCTCCCAGATATTTTGTGGGAGCTTTATGTATGAAGAAATGTAGAGATATTAGAAAAATAGAACATTGACCAACAGTAATAAAAATGTCACTAAAAAGTACTGAGTTAATATTAATAAAGAAAATTCTTCAGGAAATTGATTTGTAAACATTTGTGAACAGAAAGGAGAAAAGCTTGTGAGAGAAACTAACACTTGAAATAAATATGGGTAACTGTAAGGATCAGGAAGTGTGTTTTTATTATTTTTTTTTTTCCTAATGTCATTGCTATATTTCTCTTCCATTCTACCTCTATTTGGGTTTTAGTTCAAAATAGAGATGGTCTGATCCAGAATATTTTTCAAAAATACATAAACACATTGAGAATCCAAATATGCTTTTAAATGAAGTCAATGTGTGTCTTCTGTATGTAGCTCTCTGTTAATAGTACTAGAAAATTGTTGAGGCCAAATAGTAGAGAGCTTTGACCCTGACAGTATGCAGTCTTGTTTACACAGATTACACTGAATTGAAAGTCCATGACTGGCTGTGAAGACTGCAAGATTTCCAGGCTGAGCAGGGTCATATGGAAGCAACTGAGGTTTGTATGAAAAAATCAGCTTTGTAAATGAGGAAAATGAATAATCAGATGCTCAAATTTTATTCCCTTCTGGTATAGGAAACTGGGAGATATTTTGCACGAGTGATTAACTGTTGTGCAGTGATCACTTTTCAGACCAGCCTCAGCTCCATTTTAGACATCACAAAGAGGCTTATAAAGCAAGGTAGTTTCAAAAGTTTCTGACAATAATCATTCTGAGAAAGAGATACAAAAAGTCAGTGAAATTAGAAGGACCAGATGTTTATTTGGAATAATGGGTAAACAGGGAAGTTCTGTTTTTCAAGGAAGATCAGGGAGTTCAATGGTAGGTACAAGGCCACAGTACTAAATGCTGACATGGACTCTCCAAGGTTGCCTAGAGTAGTTGTGCTAAAGTAAATAATTCCATGTTGCACCTGTCAGAAGCTACAACATAACTGCTTTGAAGTGAGTTACATTAACATCCATGTACTCAGCAAACTGAGCAATTATAAACAGGTTTCTGCTTTCCCTGTTGGCTATTATAATTATTTGTTCAATTTGTTGCTTTGCCTCAATTCTAGTTAATGTGACTTATGAGCACTTAGCACGTACTGGAAAGACTAAGGAGAGAAGTGACTGCTGATGGTCTGGCAGTAGTCCACAAACTGTGACCTTATAGTAAGAGGCAAAGATGGAGCTGACAGTCAGGAAGCTGTACAGGATTGTAGGGCAGGATGGTGCCAGTTGGAAGCAGTAACACTCAATGCATTAAAATTGTAAAGAAACCAAACATTTCTTTTTTCTTCTTTTTTTTTTTTTTTCTTTTCCTAGAACATGATAGTGAACATTTCTATAACTGTTGTAGAGACTTCTGATTTTGCCTTTACAAGATCAAACACGCAGAAATACAGGAATTTGAAAAAAATCATATATTTCTCAGTATATTACATGGGAAATGAGGCAGATTAAGTTCTTATAAACTTTGTTATCAGTAAGTTTGACCAATATGCAGGTGATGACTTGAATTTTCCAAGCAGCAGATGTTCAGAAGTGGGGAGACAGAAGCTGGCCAAGAAAGCTGCTTCAGCAGCAGTGTGGGTTATAAAATCAGCATGGACAATCTGTTCTTCAAAGTAGAGCTAAAGTGATTTAAAGGGTTCATCAAGGTCACTTGGGAATACTATGCAGGAATACTCCAAAGCACCAGCTGTCAGGACTGTCAAGTCTTGCTAATGAGCAGTGGAATATGTAGAAAATAATACTAATGCTAATTGAAACCTGAATAGCTTAGAAGTCTATCAGGTCATTGCTATTGATTCATATCCTATAATAATGTCACCTACAGAACATGCAGTGATGCCTACCTACCTACAGTATTTGCTAATCCATTGTTGATGCTGTTCATACAAATATCTGGAAGATCTGAAGCCATCTTCAAGAGAGGTGTTCTGTTACTTCAGAGATGATGGATCACTTCTCGATTTTGTAACAAATTATGAGCAGTATCTTGGCTTCAGAAAAGGGGAAGAAAGTGCCCTGTTTCCAAGATAGCTTATAGTTCTTTAGGATTTTTCCCAAGGTCTTGAATGGGTCTGAATAATCTCAGTTAGAATTTAATTAATCTATTTATCTTAGTTTCTGTTTTGGGGAAGGAGGTGGAGGCATTTTTATAAAATTTAATATGGAACCTAACAGCACTTATGTCTTAGGTATCTGTGCCAAGTCTGACTCTACGGTTGAAAGAGAGATATGTAAATTCTGGATCTTAAAATGCTAAATTGCCCTTAAATTATGGTCACGTGTCTGCATAGGAGAACAAATCGGAACTCACCATAGCTCTGGCCTCATGGTCCAACTGCAGGCAACAAGCCCCACTTCTTCATTCAGGTATCTCTGAGGCTCCACGGTATGTGTTCCCTATGTTCCTCTTTGAATTTAGTTCCATTTTAAAATTAGAACTTAAATGCCACTAAGAATAATACCTATGTCTAAGCAGACTTTCTCTCAAGGGTTATGTGACACATGTAACAAGCATGCTCGATTACAGTGCAGTTTGTATAGTTTGTTAAAGAGAGCAACATTATCCCACAAACAGAATCTAAAACATTCAGAAAAATCTTATGGACCACCAGTGAGGGCCTTGATAATGAAGAAATTCAGACAGTTTTTGCTCAACTTTGAGTTATGATATTTCTTTAATTGAATTTGTGAAACTCATCTCAGAAATTTAGTAAATAAAAATCACAGCTTGCAAATAGTATTTGTGTAGATATCTACACAAGATCTACAGGAAGGTCCTTAAGGTTTTTGGAATGTGAGTCTATTTCAACTATTCAAATATCAGAGATCCTCAGAGTCACTTATTAAGTTATTAATACAAAACCATAAACTTCTCATGTCATCAGTTAGACCTCCCTTTGCTACTTGTCACTGGTTTTACTGTGCTGCCAGAACAAATACATTCATTTAGTGGTGAGTTACAAATTTTCCCCATGGTATCTTTCTGGGCACATTTTGCAATTCAGCAACTTAAGGAAAATTCTTGGATTTGAATTACAGTTATTTTTAATTAATGGGTAATTTAGTATAAATATGGTCTGGTGAGTGTCAGAGTTCTACTTATGGACTTAAGTTTCAATTTCACACTGTGAAGGCAGTAAGGTTTGTTCATCAGCTAGATCTTGAAGCTGAGAATAGAGTTATTTGCAATATATGCTTTCCCGATGTCAGGGCAAAACTTTACCAATGTATCAATAATAACTTTCCAGTTGTTTTTATATTATTCTGACACTTGCTGACTGTTTTTACAAATCACTGACACATAGGATCATAGAACAGCTTGGGTTGGAAGGAACTTTAAAGACTGTGGAGCCCAAAACCACCTGCTGTGGTCATGGCTGCTGATCATCAGATTCGGCTGCCTGGGGCTCCCTCCAATCTGTCCTCGAATAACTCCATATACACCTAATATTGAACAAAATGAATAGAAATAGTATACAATTCAAGGAATTTAGGATTTAAATAGGGCAGTTCAGTGCACATTGAATGTTCCAAGTATGTCCAGAATAAGACCTTGTCTTTCCATTTTCACATTCATATTTTCAGGCTAGCATGAAGAAAGTTAATGTACTTTAATACAGTGAGATTATCAAAATTATATTTATCTATCTGAAAGATTTTGAAGATTTAATACCTGTATTAGTCCATCTGCAGGACAAACAGAAACCCTAAGATGGCTATCTTGACTGATTTTACATTTAACGTTCAGCCATCATTTCTGTCTCATCTCTTAGAAATATGTAATTTATGGGAAGTAGACATAAGCAGCATTAAGACAGCTGCCTGAAATCTAGTTTTCTGGTCAGGTAAGAATGCTGCAGAAACTAGAGATCCGCATGGCTGAGGAAACTGCATGGAGTGGTTAAAAATAGCTGATGCACTGAACTAGACAGTTTTCATGTCGGGCTTATATAGGGCAGAGGCTGTTAATGATTGTTGAAGCATGTATTTATAGGAAATTGACCATGTGGAAGCCTGGCCCAAATCACCTCAGCCCCCAGTACATACACAGAAATTACCTAGAGCCTTGTAAACAAGGAATACTCATGTTTTTCTTTTAAAAATGAGTTAATGGTTACAGATTTCCATTCAGAATACCTTTAGCTGTTTAGTGAAGCATTGTGTACTGTATTAACTGCATAATTATTATAGGTTTTGGAGCTGTTTGTAAGTGATGGCTTACAATAAAAAATGTCTTAAGAAAACAGTCTTGCTCACAGAATAGTAATTTTAGCATTCTATGAATACTGCATCCTTCATCAAATTTTATTTTTGCTTCCTGTTCTGTTAAAAAATAAAAATGTAGCATGCAAATACAGAGATGATTATTTCCTACTTCAGTGTTTTACACATTTGCGTAGAGTGGATGGTTAAAAAATGAAAAAAATATTTATAGTTCTTAAAAATTTTCATTACATATGCATGAAAAAATTAGAAAAATGTAAGATAAATGGAATGAGCAATATTCTGTGACTTCCTGTTTTTGTGTTTTTGTAGTTCATGTGTTTTGTTTTTCTTTTCCTAGAAGTGAAATGAATATCAATGAAAGAAAGGAAAATAAAGGTAAGAAAAGTCTATCTTTCTATTCTTTGTACACTTAAGTTCTTTGTCAAATGTGAATGTGATAACTCACGTAAGTACAAGTGTTTGATCAGGACTAATCAGTGAATGTTTATGAGAGTGTTACTAGTATACAATCTTGTTTGTCAGCTGTGATGAGAATGTTTTTATTTGCTGTAGTGTGTTCTATAAAGCCAATCTATTTCAGTAATATAATCTCAATTTAACCTTCAAAATAGTCAGCACAACTACTTGATCTTTCAGGTATCAAAATCATCAGACAGAAATTCTCTAAAGATGCTGAAGCAAAATCCTAAATGATGCCTATATAAGCTCTTTTGCCGACTCTTTCGAAAAAAATGTGTAATGACTCATTATATAGCACAGTGGCAGTCCTACCCTACTTCTTGCAGAAGAAAACACTACAATGGTGGAAGGAGAGAATTTAGAGACTATTCTACACTCCACATAAAGTCTAATTTTTGGGATCCTTTCCTGCTGTTTAAAACACCCCCCTTTTGTCATTGAAGCTATTTAGGCACAAGTTAGACAAATCTGACACCCTTACTTATGAAAGAAGATCATAATATTCTCTTCTGGCATGCAGCTGCTACTATGAATAATTTACTCAGCATTTATAGTCTCTTGAAATTGTAGAACTATTGTGTGAATGTATTCTCTCAAAAACAGCTATTACTGTGATAGTAGATACTAAAGTAAGAAAAGAGTAGTCAGTACTGAGATCTATTTTTCAGTGGCTGTAGAAAGTCACTCCATTTTTCACATGTAAAGCTCTGCTGCTTATATCAGTCTAAAGCATATTTTTCAAGCTGGTCATAAAAGCCTTAATGACTTTTCACAGCTCCTTCATGCTGAGAGAAAGTTCAGAAGTGGTATTCATCCAGCCTGCGTAGATGAATAAGGAAGGGTTTTAATGGATAAACAGATGTTCAGTCTTATGGACTGGACTGGTAGGATTTTGAATTTGATCATTCAAAGAAATGGCAAGAAATATCAACTTGTCAGGCAAACCATTTCACACCATGGGCAAAAAGCACTGGAACCAACCCCTGCATCTGTTATTTTCACTTGAGCAGAAGAACCTCAACAGCTTCAATTCTAGTTAGATTGTTTTGTTTAGGTACAATAACCTTGTTTAGGTACAATAACCTAAGGAGTATATTAATGACATGCAGTGATTTTAATTTCCATGTCATTCTGAAAATACTTTTATTTTTAAAATGGATAAAATATTTTAGAACTTAAACCTAGAGGTGAAATAATTTGAAAGTATCACTTTAAGTGTATTTTTTTTTTTTAAAGCTTCTAACATCACAGTGACAGTGACAGAACTTAACTATCACATATTTTCATTCTCAAACATGTTCCTTGCTCTATCCAAAATGTCACTTCTTGGAGGATACAAGTTATTAACTTTTACAGAATAATGTATACTCTAATTATAATCAGTTGTAAAATTCTTACCATTTTTTAGAACAAAAACAAGCTTTAAGTGACATATATAAAAAAAACCTGTACAGATCCGGTCAGTTTGTAAGCTAAAAGTCATTAATGATTAGAAGACTGTAGAATAATAAAGAATTCAATAGTACAGTCACTGTAGCTGAAATGCCCAAAGCCCGGTCTGTCTACATAGTAATAGACAAACGAACATCAGAGATGGAATCAGGTTGATTATTACATCAAGAACAATGTCCCCACATCCCACTTAAGAAGGAAAAATAAAAGAAAAGGAGTACCTTCTATTTCTGAACTTTATCAGCTCTTCATTTAATGAATATACATGCTATGCTTTTGGCCTGAATTAGGTGAGTTACAGTTATACTGTAGGAGAATAAAAACCTGTCAGCATCATTAACCATGAAATTTTGTCTCAAGACTGAATCATTGTTTTGTTGCTTGACCTCACTTTTCTGCCTGTGTGCATGTCTGAAGCTGTGTGTTGATCGTAGGGTGGTTATTTCAGCCAAAGTGAGCTTCCCAGGCTCCCTATTGAGCAAGACTGTTAGGCAAGACAGCTGCATGACATTTGGTATAATTTGTTGACACTAAAAGTCCCTGAGTTCAGCTCTAATGGAAGACAGATCATGCAATGCCCTAATGAAGTACTGGGAGCATACTTAGTATCGCAGCTTTTAAATAGGGGAAGAGTGAGCACATTCTAAATTGACAGAAAATCGGAGAGTCTTAGTAGTTCCTGCTGCTAATGGAAATCTGAATTATACTTTGCTGATGAAGTCTGGGACAAAGATTAACAGAAAGAAGAAAAGAGTAGGAACACAAGTCTAGTGGATAACTAATCAGGGGAGAAGAGCAGAAAAAAATACAAATGTAAAAATTGTTCTTTTTGATTTGAAAGATATGCTTAATTTTTATGGTTACATTTAATTAAACAATTTTTTTCAGTAAGTCGCACATCCAGAAAAAGAGTTTCTAATGACTATCTGCCCAAAAGGCATTGAACAGTGCTCAGATTTATTTTTCTGTTCCTAGCAACAATAGAAACAATGAAGAAATGATAACAGTACTTACTGCATATGCATATAACATTCTTGTCAGTGTTTTCTTACTTAGGAAAGCCTAAAAAAATCTTACGGTTTCTGAAAGATTTTGTTGTGAAATTTTTTGATGATCACCTCTTCTTTCAAATTAGGAATGAATTCCTCTATCTCTGTGTATCAGATTTATTTCTGACAGGAAAAAAAAAAAAGACAACATTGCCATTTTTTTGGTTTACTACTTTTTTTGTTTCTTTGTTGTTTCTTATAATGTATAATTTTCATTAGATTTTTGAAGATTCATAGAAAAAAATTGCATTTCCCAGAGTCACCAGTCCTGACGGTGACCGTGCTCTTGCAGCCACGTTTGTGCAGAGAGGAGATCCTAGAGCACTGCCCACTTCCTCTCTGTGCTCTGATGCTGTCAGCCTTGGAGGAGCCTGCATGTAGGGCAGAGCTTAAGCTCTCTGCCTGGGTACCAAAAGAGCATGGAAGCTCAGAGGCCAGGGTGTACCAGAGAGAAAGCTGCCTCAGAGGAAAAGGGTTTAGTCTAGTTTAGATGTCAAGAGACTGAAGAAAGCATGGTTCAAGAGTGCTAGTGAAATTCCATTGTCATTCATGAAAATCTACTAGTTCTCCTAATAGTTTTCCTGGGGAATCAAAGCACCTGAATTGCATGTGCACCTGGCTTCTGTGGTTGGAATACTGGATGACTGCCCTTGAAAATTCCACCTGGTTCATTAGTTAACTGAGAGATGCCCAGAGGTTATATATAGAATATCACTTCAAATTTTGGACATAGGATCTGAAGGAAACCAGTTTCAGTGAAGGCCATTAAAATTAACTGGAATTCAGTGTAGTGAGTACATTGCAACTGCACAAAAGCAGTGAGCCATGCAAAAAAACAATATCTACAGCTTCATTGATAAACAATAGAAATCTCTACAAATGGTACACCACAGAAAATCACAATTAAAATGATGTTTTCATCCTTTTACTCTATTTCTGTAACGACTGTAACAGCTGAAGTATCATGTAAAAAGCATTAATATGCCTGGGCCCTGAATCATTCTACATGTAGGCTAGATTTACCTGGGTCACGGTTGTATATTTCAAAAAGTTAAGAAAAGTGATGCTGCACTTGAAATTTAATTTTGACAGGAAATAAATGAATTAGTATTTCAGTGCTTAGCTAGTTCAGATTTATATCTTGAATTGTACTGAGAGGAAAATTAAAAGCCAGTGTGTTTTGCTGAAGCACAAGTTCCTGTTGAACCTGTTGAAGTGTTCCTTCTGTTTTGTTTCACACAAGCACTGTTTAGATAGCACATGTGCCAGTTGGCCTGACAATTTGCCTCACAAGAGTCAGAAGTGCTAACAACTGAGTAATGTTTTGCCAAATTTAGATGAAACATTGTCCTTTGTGTGTGTAACTATGTCTTTATGTAGTAAATGACAGTAATTCCTTCTATCTCTAGATCCACTTCAGAGGGAACGTGTAGTGCAGCATTCAGCAGGAATGGACTTATCAGGGGTCAGATCAAAGATCCATGTGGCCCAGTATCCTGTCTCTGATCAGATTCAATAGAAAATTCCTAAGGAAAGCAGAAGAATTTGTCTGACTGTGGAAGAAGTCCACATTTTAGTCTGAATCTGTTACTCGAGGTTTTTTCACAGTGAATAGAATTGTCAGCAGTGCTGGTGGAAACTTGCCTTGCTCAAAACAGGACAGCAGTTTCTTCTGAGAAGTGCTTGTCTTTCTCCCTTGAATGCGAAGACAGCCTGGGAAGATTAGCTCAGCTGTATATTTTAATAATGTAGATATAGAGAAAGGAGAAGATTGCCTCAGTGTTTAACATCTAATTTCTCTTGCTAATTCACCCGTCTGCCTTTTTAAATGCAAGTAAATAAATCCACGATGCAACACAGTGTTACTCCTAACTACTCATTCTGAAAGAATTATCTTTTGTTAGTTCTAAATTTGTAACCTGCTAGTGTCACTTCTTGTTTCTTAATATTATTGTGTTGATATGCTCATTGAAAGGAAATCAACTGATAGTATGAAGGTTCTTAACAACAAGCTTAAATGGCATAAACCTTTGTGAGCCTTACCCGCGTTTTCAATTTATAGGGTGTACAGGAACAGAATGTCCTGTGTCATGGAGCACCTGCTGAAGGACATCCAAGAACTGGATTGCATGACGTGAGTAGCAACCAAAGGGTTCCCTCTAGTATCATCATGTTGATTTGACTGTTATGATTGGAACATAAAAGATGATGATTTGGGTGATGCTCAAATCTGATAAGCTTTTCCATAAAAATTTGGTGTTGTTTTTGATCCTGAAATATCACACAAGTAAATAAGCAAAATACGTTCACTGTACTGATTTCTTACATAGACATCTAAATTGTGAACATTTTAAGATTAAGAAATGTATTTTGTTAAGGAGCAAAATTGAACTTGCCTGTTATTGAAGAGACAGACGTGTGACACGAAACACAAGGTTATATTTAGAAAAGGCATATTATGTGGTCTTCAGTTGTAACTGATTGATGCACAGGGAATTTTGGAACTCTACTTTCCTTGTCAATTTGATGAAGAATGTTCTTGAGAATGTATACTTTACCCACTGCTTAGTCACAGTCTTCCTCTGATCTCTGGGTTTCCAGTAATGTCCTGGAGCAAAGTTTGTAATTGACTGGGCTTAAGTCACAAACTTTGACATGAATAACTTTGCTCACTGAGCTGGAGTAACTTCATAAATAAACCTTGTACTCTGGGGAGTCCAACCTCCTCATAATGCTCTCCAAAGTTCTCTCCCAAGCTAATTAGCACAAATGGGGGGGGAAAAAAGGATCTGCATCCAGTAAACCACTCTAACTCCTTGTAGATGATAAAGGTGCCTATTCTTATAATATGGATTAGAGAAGTCTTGAGCTGAATTATACATTACAGACATCCTACCCATTATGCAATGTGTGTTGAAGGCTATTATTTTCAGTCCTTTGGGATCTCTGAGGTATGAGAAACATAGAATCTAAGAAGAAAGAAGATGAAAAAAGAAATTTTTTTTTGCTAGAAGCAAATTTTAGTTTATTATTCAGCTCAGTTTCACTGTTCCACTTTCTAAGTTTCACTAGATGTTCCAGTTAAATATCAAATTACAGTTTGAAAGATTCCTTTAAAGTAGAATTTCTTCAGGGAGGACAGGTAAGGTCTCCAGAATTCTAGCATTTAAGTAGCTGAATTTGCCAAAATAGGTTAAGCAACTTTTTCTTAGATTTTCTTTTGTTTTTATCTATGAAACAAACTCTGCTTCCACAGCCTACAGCTATTTGTGATGAGAAGTTTGACTTCTGTCTAAACCAGGGTGCTACTTATTTTATTACTCATATTTTAAGATGAGCTCACTTAGGAATATATTTCAAACCACTTTCTGAATGCACCTATGTGTACTTTTTTTTTCTTCTTTTTCTTTTTTTTCCCCATTCTTGAGAGTTAGAGGAGGTTGTCTTCATTCCTTAGAAGCTAAAAGTTAATGTATTCACTTTTTGCCCTTATTTCCAAGGAGCATTCCAATGTGTCATTTACTATCAATGCTATCTCTCTGTAATGCAGGCTCTCATATGACTTGATCCATATTTCTAGTAGTCTGCACCATCAGCTTAATTACAGTAAACACCTACTTGCTGAAATCACACTCTGATACTGGAACTCCTTGTGGTTTTTCATAGTTTTATAGGGAAGAAACTATAAAAATTCTTTGGTGAAAACGTTATAATCTTTGTAGATAATTTGTAATTATGCATAAAATAAAGCAATGAAAGTCAAGTGTACCTAACGTTTACCACAGAACAACTTGTATAAGGATAACTTTTCCCACTTCACACTCCAATGAAAGAATACCTTGATAAAAATGGTTCACTGGAAACAGATGTTAGGTGTTGGGATAAAATGCCTGTAGCAACTTTAAACAAAATCATATCTATCTCAGCTAAGCCTACACTTGACAGGGAAAGTACAAAGGGCCCCATCTTCTTTCTGTTGCTTACAGCAGCACAGGTAACATACGTTTTCTGATTAACTTTTAGTGTGGCAGAAGCTGCTCCAAGCTGAGAGCCATCTATATTTAGTAGGCAAGGGGAGAGACATCTGAGGAAAAAATCTAGTCAAATACAGTGAATTTATTATTTGAGTTGAAGACAAATACCCTCCAATTTCTTAAGATCTATGTTCTGATTTTAAATTTCTGTCACAAGATTAGTGATTAAAGACTATCAGAAAAAGAAGTTAACCTGGCAACATAGTCATTACCATTGACATAGTTTTTTTTTCTAAACACTAGATATTTCTTTAAAGGAATTTTTTTTTTCTGTGCCAGAGACACTGTCCCAAACTGACATAGAAGTTGATTGTAGCTCAGATAGTTCCTAAAAAAACAAACAAAACCAAAATAAAACAAAAATAAAGAATTCTACCTCAATGAAAAGGTGATGCAGAAAATTCTTAATGTATTTTGAACTAATTTAAATAGGACTAAATAATTCAGTTTTAGATTATAACACAGGCATCATGTGTCACTGTCTTTCGTATTATCTTAGCAAAGCTACAACTAAGTTGTGTTCAGTCCTCTATCTTATCAGGAATATTGCACCATACCCTATAGTACACTTAAGGGCAAAGTTCTTTTGGTGCAGACTTTCTCACCTGTCAAACACACCCAGAGTGCACATTATCTAAGTGAACTTCTGACCTTTTGAAATTAAATTATCCACTTCCAGTGAATCAGATTTAAAATCATTTTACAAATTGGGATAAGCTCAATTTATCCTAGTTTTTCAGATTAAATATTATTAAAATCCTCCTTTGTCTGAGTCACTTTTCTGAAGCTTGCATGTCTCAGTGTCCTTGAGATAATTATGAGCATTTGTTGGGATACTAGGCAATGCTAAATTTTTCAAATTTTTTTCAAAAACAAGCAAGAAAATAAAAACAAACAAAACTCCCTCACCTGTCATAGTTATATGACATAGTTATATTTCCAGATTTATTGCTTTAGCATTTTTTTAATGCCATATATTTTTTTTGTTACTTCTACAATTGCATTAGTATAGAATCAAGCTCTCATCCTGAAATACTTTTTGTCTATATGTCTCTTTGAATGGATTTAATTGTTTTGTATTTAAACTAACATATTATGTATGTTTTGTATATGTATGTTATGTATATTTTGTATTTAAACTGACATATTGTGATGTTGCTTAATCTAATTTTAAATACCATCTAATATTCTTATATACATATGTTTTTTACTTTCATGTTACTTTGACAACACTGATGTCAGTCCTATTTTTACACTGATAGAAAAATTAATATGGGATTGCTCTTCACATGCCTTTTTTAAACTACTTTCCAGTACAAGTATCTTATTCTTTCAGGACTAGCAAAATAACATTAAAGTTGTCTGTAAAATTTTCTGAACAAAATTGAATCAACTAGACAGAAGTCGATTTAGAGAAGTATATATTATATGTGTATAGGTGCATTAATCCTTTCTCATTATTTTTAGATTAAGCATTTTCCTACTAAAAATAAAATTCTGTTACCAAAGAACACTGAACATTTCTCCAAAATGGCAATGTAAATTGTTCATATTATCTAAAATATAAAACTGATAAAATACACAGAAAAGGCACAGATGTTTTTCTTCTCTTTTTTTACCCTTCTCTCTCTCTTTTTTTTCTCTTCCCTGAATTATTTTTGTCTGGAGTGCTATATGGAATTTGTTGTATCAACAGCAAACAATTTTTTTTTTTTTTAAAAAAGGATATTTTATTGATATTGTGTTTTTGATTACTCCAGAAAACAGGAAGTACAAATGAAACATATCTGTATGATTGCTACTTTTCCAGAGAAGAGCTGAAGTGCAGTAAGTACTCTTTATCAGTTATATCTTATTATAACAAAGTCTTCCTTTCCTGCTCTCAGTTGAATTTTACCTCTAAGGTGTGATGAAAGGCCAATAGCAGAGATGATACATGTATCCTGTTTGGATGTATTTTTTAAAAATGTGTTTAAATGTCTTATAATAAAAGTAAAATCCACCGTCAAAGAATATTATTTGATATCCTTCAATATAGTAACAAAAATAAAAATATTCAAATATATTAGAAATCACAAATTAAAATCAAAACCTACAAAAATCTAAATTGTTCTTTCTTAGCTATTGTCTTCAAACTGTTGTTCTGAGTAAGGCCCATGGCAGGCCCATGGCCACTTTTAGCTATACTGTATGATCTAGAAAAGCTTTTGAAAAGGTTTTGCAGTACAACGTAAATATAGAAATCCACGCTTTCTCAGTAAACTTAAGGTTAAATATATACATAAATTAATGATTATATTCAAGCTAACAACATGTCATTTGTTTTCAGTTATGAAATATTCAAAGCTTTGTTATGTTGGTGAACTCAGAGTGTCAAAGACAGACACACATTGTTTGAAAAGCTTAATTGGGAAAAAAAGCTAGTAAAGTTTGAAGAAGGACATGTGAGGACATATTTAACTACTGTAAGACTTCTTGCTTGCATAGATGTGCATTTATGCTCATCAGAATCCACTTACATCATATTAACGTTGATATATTAACAAGTCTTATTTATCAGCTTCTTAATTTCTCAAAGAAAACCTTGGAAAAAATATTTTGCTCACAGGATATTTATTCTCCTGTACTTTGGAAGATCCTCAGATTCTCACAGTTTACCTGAGATGGAAAGATTTTATGTTATCTCAAAGTAATGCCAGAATGTTCTCATTCTGATAATTTCAGGACTAATGATCACTGACAGATAACTAAATCAAACTAGCAAATTTTTTTTTTTTTTTTTGCTGAAGTCTTTCTGTATTTACAGATAATAAAAGACTAGAAATCTTAATAACATCTAGTATAATCAACTTAAGATATTGAGTTTTACAATGGACATGTGAAATTCATAATTTTTTCCAGTAGACACATTTATCTGGAGCTGGAAAGCTGTTTAGAATTCATTTTTTCTATAGAACAAGGGCTGCTCCAGAAGTAATGCTTCTTGTTTTTATTCTGTTGACCTGCAATGTCAGAAGCAGGTGTTCGTGGTATGGCAGCAGAAGTTGAACCTTCCTACCAAGATTTCCTTACATTTTGTTGCTGTGTAACAGATGGCAGAAGAGGAGCAGTCTGAGAAAATGGCATTTGATGTAGAAGTAAGTGTGTGGAATTGAATTTCTCCATGCAGAGAAAAATTGCACACACTGACATTCACTGACGCTGCAAGTTTACAGAGATCACACATTGGGTGTGAGCACACTAAGGTGGAGGATGGCAAGAGAAGTGGCAAAAGCTACATGAAAGGCAAACCACTTTTTATGAGAGAGGAATGCAGGCACTTGTTCAGCACTGTCAAAAATGCACAATTAATGGTATCTACTACATTGAAAATAAGTGTTTTGTAGATAAACATTTTCTCTATCAACTAGTGCTATTGTGCTGTTTGTAGCTGTCTAATATTCCAGGGAAATAAATAGAGGTATTACTGTCAGAGTGAACTATGTATGTTCTCCACATTTTTTTGAGAAGACCTATTGAAATTGGCATAATAAAATAATTTATTCAGACATTCAATTTTCCTTATAGTTCTGTCTTAGGCCCTTTCTTATTGGACAGGCTACAACTGACTACTCAAAAGAGATTTGGTCAATCTCCATCAGTTGTCAGGGCCAGGATTCTTTCCACTTCCAACTCTAAATCAGTCAATTTTTTTTCTGGTATTATTGTACTGGAAAATAATAAGGTATATTTTGTTAAAGTATGTCTATTGCAAATTTGTGAGGAGGTCCCATTGCTTTAATGTAGATGGAATCTTTGCAGTAACATAGAGAAATGTGTTTGCACTGTTATGTTTATTCACTCTCATATTCTGTCTTTGAAAGGAGGACAAGTGTATTTGCCTAAACTGTAAAATGCTGATTGCTAATGCCTTTGAAATCTTTACACTTACTCTGTTTCCCTTTCTTCCTATGTCTCTTTTTCCTTTTGGAATACGATCTTTATGTCTCTGTCATTTAGATTTCTATTCTTGATTGCTGCAAAATTCTTTCCTGCTACATAGGAACCTATGTTTTTGAAGTTTTTGCTTTTAACCAAAGCCTTGTTCTTTGGCTCATTTTTTACCCTCTTATATAACCTTCATTGAACTGAAAAAAATGATACAAGAATTGTCTTTTAAACTTGAATGAAGCAATATCAAACACTGTGCTGCCTAACATAGAGAAATGAATTGATTTGGGGAAATTAAATATTGATATTATGTTCTCAAGGCCAGCACAAAACAAGGCAATTTCACAAATTTTGCATGGAGCTCTGAGAGTTGGTGTGAAAATATATGAAAATAAAGGAAGTAGGGCAAGTGGCTAAAAGAGAAGAGCCTGTAGCTGACATGTCAGCATTGTACGTTTTCAGCCTTTCTGAGCACAGTTCCACTGAATGTAAAATGGCAAAGTGGGGAGGGTCTTTTGAGTGTCTCCTCAGATAAAGGCACCAACAACCTGATTTGTTTTCAATATGTGTGGTTGTACCTGTGTGAAGCATCTGTAGAACTGTTGATTTTCACTTGAATTTGGTCCCTAGCTTAAGCCAAAGACTTTCCTTCACAAGCTGCAGAAATAGTTAAAGGGTAAGAAGTTCCGTGTTGCTCATCAGTATCAGAAAGTAAGAAAGTACTGCTGCGAACTTCAATTTTTGATTTATTTTAGTCTATCAAGATGAATGTTAATTTTCATGATAGAAAAATTTCTTTAATTCTTTGATTTATTAAATGAAAATACTAGAAAAAATAATATTGTTTTAAAGATACTCTTAAATGTATCTACTATGATTTAAATTAAGCATTAGCTTTTATCTCTAAAGATGAGAGCTAGATGAAGAGCTAGATTTACTTCCCTTCATGACTTGGTTTTTAGGAGAAAAAATTCTGTCCATGTTCTGTTATATATTTGAAAAACACTTAGATCAATTATATATACATTCCAAATACCAGTAAAATTTCCTTCAGTTGTCTGTGAGTGTGTGTGTTTATGTGTGCAGATAAAGATAGATCATCAAGCTCTTACAATCTAGACACTCTTATATGTATTAGGAAGGAACGCGTTGTGAAGTAGGGCATAAGCTGATCATCCAAGGTCATAGATTTGGAACTGCCTTTGCAGTGGTATGTGATGCTCAACAAGGCTGCTTTTCCTTACATTTATTTTTTTGTGAAATACAGAAACGTGCTTCTTCCTCATACTAGTAAAAATAACTTCTTCTTAATCTCAAAATGGAACAGGTGAAAAAACAGCATAAAATATTTTCTATAGAAAATATATAAACTACATATACACTATAGAAAGTTTGCCTTTCTTTATTAAAAATGAACCCACTTATTCCTTCTAGTTATTCAGCATGAATAATAATTTAGCACAATCTGAGAACAAATACATTATCCCCTATTTTTCTGTGTTCTTATTTTCTTATGTCTCATTGTATGAGCAAAACTGCTTTGTACACTGCTATGGAAAAGACAATATTTAGAAGCCATAGAGAAAAAATATTAATTCATGAAACTGGATTTTGTTCTGTAAAAAAAATTCACTCTGAAGCAAAAGTATCTTTAAACATTTTTCATTTTGAATACTTTTGAAAAGGTTAATTTGATAAATCAAAAATTTCTCAAAATTGGGTAAAAGAGAGAAAACTTGAAAAAAAAACCCCAAAAACTAAACCTCTTCAATGTTCCCATTCTCCTCCACCTAAATCTTCTGTGAAATATCAAGCAAGTATCTAAAGTTCAACCTAACTTAAACCTTTTTAAAATAGTATTTTCTACTGATTTCTGTATTCTATGTTATCTTTACCTGTAGATCTTTACCTGATCTAGCTGATTTAGAACTTTCTACTACTGACTATATTTATTCTTTGACATATGAAAATGACTTTACAACATTTTATGAATACAACTGCATTTATTTCTTCTAGTAGGCTGATAGTCTTTAAGCCTTTTATCGTTATTTATTTTAAAATGAGTATTCTGATGAATTATGAGCATGTGCTGAAACACTATCTGCAGCTCAAGTTGGAATACAGCTTTTTCTTCTGTGTGCTTTATAGCACTTAAATCTTTCTCCTTCCTAGACTCCCTGTATTTTTTCATTTTTAAAAGCCTTCTGTTTATTGCTTCCACTAATCTTTAGATCTCTACTTAACCTCATTGCCCACTGTTGCCCTTTTCTACATTTAGATTTAACCAGCATGTCAATTGCAGTCTCTCCAGAAAATTTCTGAAGCATTTTCCATTTTTAATTAAAAAATCCACTTTTTAAAATGGCACTTGTATCACAACTTTCCTCAAGTACTGTGTTCAGAAAATTCTATATTCTTCCTGATCCTTAGGAATTGTCATTAGAACTGCAGAAAAGATGGCATGTAAAGATATACATATAAATGTATAATATATACATATATATATATATATATATGTATATTGTATGTATGTGTATGTATATATGTATTTAAATATCTTCCCTCCAAAAAAACTCATGAAATTCATTGAATGTACTCACTATTGCTTCTGATACAGTCTGGAGAGAAAGGCAAGTCAAGGTTAAGGGATCTAAGTCTTAAACACAGCGGCTGAAGCACCTGTGAGAAGTCTGAGAGAAATTGAGAATGGTGTAACAGTTATATATGAGAGGACAAAAAAAAAACAAAAACAGATGACTCTTTCAGTTCTAGAGCAGGGCTAAGAATGCTCTTCTTCCAAGTGTGACACACTGCTCGAGTTACTGTTTTTTATTGTTCTAAAGCATCATATTCTTGGCAGTTTTTAACACTATCAGCAAATTCATTTTCTCAGTTTAATTTTACTGTCTACATGTAGGTAAAACTCATTTTTAGCATTTGAGGAAGTAGAATGCAGAAGCCCACTGTATTTTGCTGGATTTTGTAAAGGTGAGTTCATAAATATCGTAATCAACATTCTAGACTGTCTTTTGTTTGAAGATTTTCCATGCATTTTTCAGTTATAAAAATAAGACTTTCTGAATTTGTCTTGACAATTTTATAAGACTGTGTATCATCTAGTTGTGGCTCAGTCTTATCCACATTCAGTTCTATAAAAGAGAAATTGGCATCTTGGAATTGTAAAGTTTTACTGTCCTTGTTCAATTATTTCTGTCACTTGAGTCACAATGTGTAACTCTAAATAATGCCTTCCTTTAGTTATCTTCTTTACCTTTCTAGCAGGTATGATGAAACCAAATCCTTAATAAATCATAAATAATTTACTTGCTTCTTATAGCATGAATTTTTCTTAGTAGCTACAAATGAAAAATATTTTTGATAAAGGCAATTAATGTTCTGATGGTGCCAGAATAGGTGCTGGAATTTATTTGTCAATGGCAGCTAATTTTGTATGTTAAAAATAATATGGTTCTTGGCTCTCTGAATGTGAAAACTTCTCAGAAAGTATAATGTGTAGTTCAACTAAAAAGAGAGCTGGAAATTTACTTTGGAACAGGAGGCTGTAATTCAGTTCATTGGGAGCCAGTTAGTCCTCTTCCAAAATGCAGGAAGAGTATTGTAAGCAAATGGTGTGATAGCTGCACTTGAGTAAAAAACCATGGGAACTGCATTACCCAACTCAATTTTTTTGTTTTGAACAATCATTTCCATTACCCCTGTGAAACATCACACTTGGAAGTTTCTTGAGGCTCTGTATTTCATCAGTGACTTTCTAGCCTACTTTCCTCAGCCTGCCTCATTTTTTAATTTGCACAGTACACTTGAGTTCTTTGGTCAGACAGTCAAAGAAAAAATCTGTCAGAGGGATTAGTAAGAAGACTTAAGGTTGTCTCAAGCAAGCTTATGGTAAAAGGATTTAAACATACCAAGCATTAGTGAAAGTGATTGGCTAAAGACGTGCAAACTTGCTACCTGTAGCCTGCTTTTCTGCAAGTCCCCAGTCAGTGAGCAGTTATTCACCAGCCATCTACAAAACACACAGAAGAAGTGTTCATAATCTTTATATGTTCTAAAACAGTGCAAGGAGCAAAAATAATAGAAGCGGAAAAAAGGATATCTCATCCCATCTTTCTCTACTACAGTACATACTATATAGTAAAAATATGCCATGTTTTTATTATTTCTGTTATCGGTATTCCACATAACATCCTGTAGTGTACTCAGAGTTAAAGAGTTAATGCTCCAGTTCCATGGATTGCCAATATTTTTGGGTACCTTGTTCTCAGAAAAGAAGAACTACATAAAAAAATCCAGAGGACTTTCACTGTTTCATTTCCTGTTTCCATTTTCCATTTGTAGGGAAAGATAAAACAGCTCGCTAGTCATGAGATTGGTTCCTTCTTCCTTCCTCCACAGTGTGTGCTCCCTAGACACCTCACCTTCTTCATTAGCACTGGAATAAATCTGACCACAAAGGTGGAAAAGGGATGGAAGAATGAGAAGGAAAATGAAGTTTTGAAGAAGAGACCGGAAAAAGAAAGGCTGAAAATGATTATGAAGCTCACACAAGATGTATAATGACTATCTCTTCTCTGCGTTCTAGAGGAGCTTTACAGAATCACAGAGTCACAGAATTGTAGGGGTTGGAAGGGACCTCCAGGGATCATCAAGTCCAACCCCCCTGCCAAAGCAGGTTCCCTACACCAGGTCGCACAGGTAGGCATCCAGGCAGGTCTTGAACATCTCCAGAGAAGGAGACTCCACCACCTCCCTGGGCAGCCTGTTCCAGTGCTCCGTCACCTCACTGTAAAGAAGTTCTTGCGCACATTTGTGCAGAACTTCCTGTGCTGCAGTTTCCAGCCGTTTCCCCTTGTCCTGTCTCCATTCACCACTGAAAACAGTCTGGCCTCGCCGTTCTGCCCCCCGCACTTTAGATATTTATAGACCTGGATCAGGTCCTCTCTCAGTCTTCTTTCCTCAAGGCTGAACAGACCCAATTCACTCAGCCTTTCCTCATAGGGGAGATGCTCCAGGCCCTTCACCATCTTTGTGGCCCTCCACTGGACTCTTTCCAAGAGATCCTTGTCTTTTTTGTACTGGGGAGCCCAGAAGTGGACGCAGTACTCCAGATGAGGCCTTACCAGGGCAGAGTAGAGGGGGAGGATCACCTCCCTCAACCTACTGGCCACGTTCTTTTTAATACATCCCAGAATGCCATTGGCCCTCTTGGCCACAAGGGCACACTGCTGGCTCATGGCCAATCTGTCGTGCACCAGGACACCCAGGTCCCTCTCCGCAGAGCTCCCCTCCAGCAGATCATCTCCCAACCTGTATTGGTGCATGCAATTATTTCTCCCCAGATGCAAGACTCTACACTTCCTTTAAACAGGAAGCAACAGAGGTGGCAAACCGAATCATATCATCTAGCTGTCTTCTCTTTGGAGATAACTGGCAATTCTGAAAGGGAGATGAGGAAGAAGAAAAGAACTTCTTGGTTTGTTAATCTGCTGGTGTTATAGTGAACTTTGATTAATTTCACAGCTCAGTCAAGTAGTGGGCTAACATCTTGACAAAGTTGTGTTTTGTGTTTGATCATTCTAAATCTGAGAACATCCTCATTAACCTAGTTGCAGCTTTCAATAATGTAAAAAATGTTTCCTACCAAAACATATTTTTAATATAATTTATGATTTGGTGTACATATGAAGCTAGATGAAGAGGACATAAATAGATACTTAGGAGAAGACCCACAGTCCTTAGAAAGATCTTTGCTCAGTTCTGTAAAGGGACTACAGCAGTCCTTGTACTATTTTTTTGCAGGTGCTATAAGAATTCCTCTGAATGGCAGGAGATGAACTTTGGCAGAAAATAAAGTGTAAACTGTAGCAGTTTAGGCATGCTTATATACAGGTTTTTAACTAAAGTCTTGTTTTGTTGTCAACAAAAGATGGCTTGCTTTCAGAAAAGTACAAGCTATATTTCAGTGAGATAGGACTCTGGAGAAAAATGTTTGACGTTAGTTACATACACTGTAACTAATCTGAATCACTGATTCTGGTAGGGACTGACATCCCTGTCTAAGTCCCAAAGCTAATATGATTCTGCATGTAGGGCCAGTTTAAAGTCACAGGCTCAGCTAGGTTTAACTAGAACTACTGAAGAATAGAAGGTACAGATTAAACATTTTTCTCCATTGTGAGACTATAAATAAAAATTTGAAAGTGACTTTATAGCCAAATGATTTATTCATTGCTATTATATTATTTATATCAATGTGAAATATGTTACTTTGATTACTGAGAAATGGAAAAATTTTGTGAGGATAGTGAATGGGGAGCAATTTTTTTAATGTCCTTAAAATATAAACTGATGGGGTTTGCTTCCTCTGTACAAACGGTACTTTTCATTGAAAAGAATAAATGCCATCACTGTAGTATCTCAGGTGATCTTTTAGACTCTTTCAGTTGTGGTGAAAACCCAGGAGTTTCTTGGCTTTCTGCTTTGAGTAGAGGACACTCACAGTATTCTATTACTCTGTGAGAGACTTCACTTGGACAAAATAATGTAGAAAATGTTGACTTGGAAAATAGACTGAATAATCTACCAGTGGAGATTTGTTTGTTTGTTTGGTTTGTTATTGTTGTTTCTTAACGAATCAGCAATGAACAATTTGACCTAATTCAGAAATAATTGAAGACTACATAAATATTTGGCTGGTTCAAGTTTTAAATAGAACCACAGTAAAATTTCATGTACATATTAGACTTTTAAGAATGTATTGTTTATTTAATTGCATTGACTAATAATTTTAATTATTTTTATCAATACAAAAATAAATGACAAGTCTCCCTACCCTACTCTATTTTTTTAACAATCACTTTTTAATCGGTATATACTATATACAGCTGGTAGCTCTTTCATTTTTGTATCTCCAATCTGCTTTCTGGGGTATTAACTATGCACAAGTTGGCTGCATCTCTTCTATCATGCAGAACAGCCACATCTGTATTTAATAATTTACTATATGCTGTAATCTACCACCTAACTTCCAGTCATTTTTACTAAGTGTGGAGGACAACAAGCAGAGAGGAGGTACTTAAGAATCTATCCCTGAATATCTAAATGCATACTTAACTGATTAGTTTTATATGACAGTCTCTTATAAACATGCTAATATGCTGAGGACTCTTAATTTGCATCTACATGCTATTGATTTCTGTATGATTATACATAGTGAACTCATTGTGATCACACAGTGCTGTTCTGAGAACATGCTCAGAGGTACAGGAAAAAGTAAATCCATGCCAAATAAATCACCCCATGGGTCAATACTCGTGACTTCTTTGTGGCCAAGAGGACCAATGGCATTCTGGGATGTATTAAAAAGAACGTGGCCAGTAGGTTGAGGGAGGTGATCCTCCCCCTCTACTCTGCCCTGGTAAGGCCTCATCTGGAGTACTGCGTCCACTTCTGGGCTCCCCAGTACAAAAAAGACAAGGATCTCTTGGAAAGAGTCCAGTGGAGGGCCACAAAGATGGTGAAGGGCCTGGAGCATCTCCCCTATGAGGAAAGGCTGAGTGAATTGGGTCTGTTCAGCCTTGAGGAAAGAAGACTGAGAGAGGACCTGATCCAGGTCTATAAATATCTAAAGTGCGGGGGGCAGAATGGCAAGGCCCGACTGTTTTCAGTGGTGAATGGAGACAGGACAAGGGGAAACGGCCGGAAACTGCAGCACAGGAAGTTCTGCACAAATGTGCGCGAGAACTTCTTTACAGTGAGGTGACGGAGCACTGGAACAGGCTGCCCAGGGAGGTGGTGGAGTCTCCTTCTCTGGAGATGTTCAAGACCTGCCTGGATGCCTACCTGTGCGACCTGGTGTAGGGAACCTGCTTTGGCAGGGGGGTTGGACTTGATGATCTCTGGAGGTCCCTTCCAACAATCCTACAATTCTGTGATTCTGTGATTCTAGTTACTTCCAGGCATCTCAGT